CGCTTAAGGTCACCAGTTAGCCACATAACAAATTTGCTCATAAAATAAACAGTATCACCTGTAAGTAATGAGCTCCTTTGAAAAATCATTTATATGAGACCAAATGGACACAAATTGCGCAAACGCAAAGATGAGAAAATAGGGGGCTGGGAAACTAGAATACTGGAAATGGTACAACCAGAATGGAATGGATGAAAATAATGACACATTGTGAAAAATGTAAACAACGTCACTGAATAATTAGTGTGGAAATCGTTAAATGGGAACCTAAGTGGCTGAGTATTTTCACCTGAAACAATAAAATATTATTTAAAAAACAAAACCAAACCGTAAAACACCAAAAATAAAAAACCAAACCTACAGCCATCAGGTTGATTCTAAGTCATAGTGACCTCTTTTGAGTTTCTGAGGCGGTAAATCTTTACGGAAGTAGATCACACCACCTTCCTTCCATGGAGTGGCTGGTGTGTTTGAACTGCCAACCTTCTGGCTAGCAGTCAAATGCCTTAGGCACTGCACCATCAGAGTTCTTTCAGTAAAAGACAGTAAATATGAAAATCTAATGTGTGATTGACAGTCTACACAATCAAACATGGCAGCCCTGGAAAGGAAGTTTTTGCAGAAAGCAGAGAAAAGGCTTTTGAGTTTCAAGAGTCCAGGCCCAGAAAGGACTTAAGAGAATAATGTAGAATAGAACAAGTCAGAGTGGAAAAGGCCATGAGGAGTGTCTAGGTCTTGGGTAGCTTTGTGAATTTGTGGCTGGGATGTCAAGACTCCTACAGCTAGTTGTGCACTTGGCTACTAACAGAAAGGTTGGTGGTTTGAACCCAGAGGTACCTTGGAAGAAAGGCCTGGTGATGTGCTTCCAAAAGGTCCCAGCCTTGAAAACCCTACAGAGCACTGTTCTGCTCTGCACACACAGGGTCACCATGGGTCAGAATGGATCCAATGGCAACTGGCTGGAGTTCCTGTGTGGTACAAATGGTTAAGTGTTTGGCTACCAACCAAGAGATTGTCAGTTTGAATCCACCCCGAGGCATCTTGGAAGAAAGGCTTGGTGACCTACTTCTGAAAGGTGACAATCTTGAAAACCCTGTGGAGCAGTGCTGCTCTGAAACAACATGGAGTTACCAAGAGTTGGAACTGACTCTATGGCACCTGCTCACAGCTAGTTAGAAAGCAGAGTGGAACCAAGAACCTGCTTCAGAGAAGCTGTGCTGAAGGGTGGAGAATGTAATGGAGACACACTGTATTCCTTGGTTGGCGGTTAGAATCATGTTAAAGAAGAATTTATAAATTGGGAAATCCAATCAAAGTCTCAGTGGAATTGACTTACAGACTGAAAAAACAATGGTTCTAAAGTCCATTTGGAATCAAGAGGTGAACCTGGCAAGGAGCGGAACCCACTGGACATTGAAATATTAAAAATCTGTGGTAATAAAAGCAGTGGAGTCCTGGTCACAGATTAGACCAATCAGCTGATGCAGCACATGTTCGAGTCCCCCTCGAGGCACCTTGGAAGGAAGGTCTGCAGATCTACTTCCCAGACGTCAGTGGCTGAAAACCCTCTGGGCACAGTTCTGCTCGGACCCCACGGGTCACTGGGAGTCAGAGTCAATTTGACGACAACCGGTTAATGTACAGAATCATCTCAGCAGTCTCCCGATTGTCCTCATACAGTCCCTTAGGTGCTGCAGGAGCTGGGCCAGGTGCAGGGTGATTATGCAGTGATCTGGCACCTGACAGGGCCTAGGCTCTATCTCAGCACACCTTTTCCGGATGTTTCAGCTTGTCCTGGGCTTTGGGGACCTAGGAGTCACTTGGAAACCTCCTGAGGTAGCACAGTTCATTGAGACGGTGCCCTGGGTGTGGTCTTCCCGTTTGCTCTCAATAACCCCACTAGAAGCTGGTGGCCAGTAGCCCTACGGGATTCCCTGCCCTAATTTGTTTTTTCCCTGAAAGTAGAGGCTGCACAAAGTTAAGGATGCTCCCAGTCTTCTGATAAGGGCCCAGAGCCTGATGGAGTCCCTGGGTGGTGTTAATGGTAGCACTTGCCTACAAACAACAAGGTTGGAGGTTAAAACCCACCCAGAGGCACCTCATGAGAAAGGCCTGGTGAGGTACTTTCTTTCTTTTTTTT